CAAGAAACACTGCATGGTTAAAAATTAGGAAGGGTGTATGCCAGGGATGTGTCCTATCTTTTCAATCTGTATGCAGAACAGATTATCTGGGAAGCTGGGCTCTACGAGGAGAAGTGTGGCATCAGGATTGGAGAAAGACTCATCAACAATCTACATTATGCAGATGACACAACCCTGCATGCTGAAACTGAGGAGGACTTGAAATGCTTGCTGCAGAAGGTCAAGGACTGCAGCTTAAATATTGATTGAAGTTCAACATCAAGAAAACAAAGATTCTCACCAATGGGTCAATTGGAAGCATCATAATAGATGGTGAAGAGACTGAGATTGTAAACAGTTTTAATTTCCTTGGCTCTACAATCAACACTCTTGGTACCAGCAGCCAGCAAATTAAAAGGTGTAGTGAATAAGGAAAGTCTCCTGTCAGAGACCTCTCCAAAGTACTGAAGAGCAATGGTGTCACTCTGGAGACTAAGGTGCCCCTGATACAGGCATGGTCTTTGCAATCACTTGCTATGCATCAGAGAGCTAGACAATGACTAGGGATGATAGAAGGTGAACTGATGCGTTTTAGCTGTAGTGCTGGAGAAGAGTATTGATTATCCCATGGATTGCTAAGAGAATGAACAGGTTCATCCTAGAGAGGGTTAAACCAGGCTGCTCCTTGGAGGCAAGGATTCTGAAGCTTTGTCTGACATATTTTGGACATGCTTCAAGGAGGGACCAGTCCTTGGAGAGGAGGTCATGCTTGAGAGGGTGGAGGGACAGTGCAGGAGAGAAGACCCTCAAAGAGATGGAATGATTCAGTCACTGGGGTAATGGGGGTAGGAGTGTCAGACACAATAAGATTGGCACAGGGTAGAGCAGGATTTAGGGTTGTTGTACATAGGACTACTGTGAGTCACAGGGGACTTGATGGCAAATAACAACAACAACAACTCCTAAATAAATTCGTTTCATTTTTATAGTTGGGGTATTTTGTTTTTGGTAAAGAAATTTAGCTAAAACTAATCAGATTCTTTAAAATGCTAATAATAAAAAAAATCTATGGTCCTCAAGTACATTTTGACTCACAGATATGCTACTGGACAGGAAGAACTGTCCTAATCTTTATTCTATGGGATATGCTGACTCATATAGCCTTTGATTACTATGTAATTGCCTACCTTTAGGTTAGCAGGTAAGTGTTAATGACAATACCAACAAGGTTCTTTATGTTAATCCTAGATAATACACAATTTCAGGGATTGTCTTACTTTCCACAGAACTATTCTCATTATATTTTATCTGTGAAGGTTCTTCGAGGGGCCAGAAATGCTATTTTTCTCACCTTTTCTAGCTACCCTGAAATGAAGCCTTCAAGTATAATTCTTCAGAAGCATCTCAGCATGTTTCTGAAGAGAGAAAACTGCCTAAGCTACAACACAGTAATCAAAGGATATGAGTCAGCATTTCACTTAGACACAAAATCAAATTAATTTTAAAAAGGTAAAACACAATCTTTTTGAAATACACATATACCTCCTTGGAAAAGCTTTCAGAAAATTGGAGTTTGCAAGTTTATGAATAGTTTATTATATTTCAACAAGTGTATCATGATTCAATAAAATGAAATTTAAGGACAATGGGCTCATTAGCAAGCCAGTTATTGATTCTTAAGTTTCAAAATAGAACAGTACAGGAGAGCAACACTAATGTAAAGAGATTATAACATAAAAAACTTGTCAATGAAAAAAAAAACACAAACTTGTAAATGGCTACTTAAGATATTTATTCAAATTAATGTCTTCATCTTTTTGGTAACTAGGAATATTGTTATTTAGTGTTTATTTTTAAAATATTTTTATTGATATTTTAATGAAAGTTTATAGAGGACTTGGATTTCCATTCATTCACTGTTACACATTTTCCTCCCTGTCCACCCCGCCCCCCCATTTAGTGTTTATTTTTTTAAATCAGGTTAGAGGCAGGGGAGCTCTGGTGGCCTAGTGGCAAGAAGCTGCACTGCAATCCCAGAGGCACACGGTTCAAATCCACCAGATGCTCTTCTGGGAAAAGGAGGGACAATCTCATCCTGTACCAGTCAGATCCGATTTGACGGTACACACACACACACACACACACACACACACACACACACACCAAAAATAATAATTTAAAAAACTTTGAAAAAAAAATCAGGCTAGAGGCTTTCATAAAGCTCAAAAGTATTATCTTTCAGACATTTATGATTTTTAATTTTCTATTTGCTTTTTTGTTCTTGAAAAGTCTACCTTAAAATTATTTTTTAAAATCATCAAGGAGATATTAAAACAATTATTAAGTTAGTTTTTAAAAAAATATAAAGCTTCCTCTTTTCTTCTTCTTTTATAGTAATATTATAACTCAATAGGAAGAAACTTCCTAGAATGGTTATAAACCAAGTTCTTAAACTACTAACTTTTAAGAACCAAAGACAGACAGAAAGACAGACATGGTGTTGGTAAAAGTGAAAAAAGAGAAAATTTAATTGATCTATATGCTTATGTTGCTTGTTTATTATCTGCTTTGTTGGGTAAAATGTTTGTGAGATATTATACTAAAGCTTCCAAATTAAGACAGACTAGAAAGAAATGGTCATCCTCCCAAAATAATAGGCCTTCAAAAACCCTATGAACACTAAAGCACACTTAGACAATTAGGTGAAGCACTGGAGGCTGAGCTCTCATTTTGGGAAACACAAAAGAAGGAGAAACAACCATTAATTGGAACATGGAATATACAAAGTAGGAATGTAGGCAACCTGGACATGGTTAGAGGGTCAGTGTAAGAGAGAAAGACTCTGGATAAGATAGATAGTGACTGTGGCAATAGGAGCAAGTGTGTCAGAGATGGTGAGGTTGGCTCAGGATAGTGCAAGGTTCAGAGCAATGTGCACAGGATCCCTGAGTCACAGATGACTTGACAACACATAACATACATTAAATAAGGGAACTCTGGTGGCTTACTGGTAAGAAACTGCACTGCAACCTTGAAGGCATGCAGTTTGAATAAACTAGTTTCACTATAAAAAAAAAAGATGGGCAATCTCCTGTGCCAGTTGCTCCACCGGAGAAAGATGGGCAATCTCCTTCCATGCAATTTATTGCCTCTGAAGGCCTACTGGAGAGTCAGTTATGAGTCCGTTCCAACTTGATGGTACATAGCAACATACATTGAATAATACAAGTTTCTTTCATTACAAATATGGAGAACTCATACAGTAAAAAAAAACCACAAAATACCTAATACAGTTATGGTTGCTTTCTGCTGGCATTTACTCAAATTTATTATAAATAGTTTATTTTATTACATGTTGTTGTTGTTTGCCTTCAAAACTCATAGCTGACCCTCAAGCAGGTTTTCAGAGGCTATAAATCACACAGAAGGAGACTGCTCATCATTCTCCCATGGAGCAGCTGGTTGGTTTGAACTTCTGCACTTGGGCAGTGCAAACTTTACCACTAAGCCACCAGAGCTCCCTGTTATAATCTACAGAATGACAGCACCACAAATAATTTTTTGTGATTCACAGACTTATTGCAAAATACTTCAAATGTCTTTGATTTTTAACTATAACCAAGATAATTTCCACAAAGACTATGCATAAAAAGAACAAGAACAGCACAGAGAAAGCTGACTTTGACCGCTACTAACTCAAGGGGGAACTGCCTCCATCAATAACACCCACAAAGCCAAACTAATTTCTATGAGATCAGATATGTCCCTCATGCTTCCACACCTATTTCTACTAATTCTAACACCAATGCTACTGTTTTAGGTGGTCCAAAATCCTTTACAACTGCTACACAGAGTTCACAGAATCATACTCACAAGTATGAGGTGGACTAGGGAAGTTAAACAGGTTAGAATTCAGGTTGACAAAAGGATACAATTTCTTAGTCAGGACAGCTTTTGAAGTGTGCTTGGAGGCCCTTCAGCCTTGTGGCTTTGGGTCAATGTTACAAAGATCACTTAGTCCTGTCAATTATGGCTTCTACCCTCAAGTCCTCCAGCAAGCTTGAAAGAAAGCTCTAGTTCTGGTTCTATACGGCAGCTGTCTCAGGTCAATTCTGTCTCACGTCTGGTTTCTTGTTCTTTGCTGTGGTTCTGAGTGGCATGGGAATCTTGGGCCCTGAAGGATGTGCGTTGCATTCTATGCTGCTTCCTTCTTTTTGAAATTGAGATTTCCACCAAAATTCTGCCACCAAACTTGCTCTATTTAAACCTGGTTTAATGGTAAAATTAGTCAATCTTCTGATGGATAGATTACCATGCCCTATTTGCATGTTTCTACATAGCCATGAGGTGTTAGAGAAGAGTACTGAACATCTTATGGATTGCCAAAAGAATAAATAAATATGTCTTGAAGAAAGTATAGCCAGAGTGCTCCTTGGAGGCAAGGATGATTAAACTTCATATATTCAGGTATGCTGCTAGTGGTGGCTATTCCATGTAGAGGGAAATAATGTTTGGAAATGCAGAGGGTTCACAAAGGAGAGGTGGATTGACATGGTGACTACCACAATGGGCTCTGTCAGGAAGTGTGAGGATAGCACAGGATGGGGCAGGGTGTAGATCTGTTGTTCATTGGATCACTATGGGTCATACTTGACTCTACGGCACCTAACAAAAATAATTCCTAGGCATGTGGCAAAATCAAGGTCTAGGAAAGTCATTTTTGAGCAAAATATCCACAATACTGTACTACAAAGTGATTAAAAAACTTGAAACAATTTTATTTTTTAAAGGGCAGGGGAAGAAGAAAGAAGGATGAGAAGTGACTGAGATCTACAGCTTAGGCAATTTAGCAAGTTCACTCAATTAGCAGATTGCAGTTATGTGTGAGAACCATGTCTTTTGTCTAAAAACACTGCTAAATCTTTAAATAGTAGTGTGTTCAAGATGAATGGAAAGGAAATACATTAGCAGTTCAGATTACTTTATTCCGGCAAATAATTCTAGAAATTCACTTTAAATTTTCAAAATTCCATCAGATGTGTATATGGTCCATTGGTGTCCAGCTTTAATACCTGCCTGTGCCCGTAAGTCCCATGTCTCACGACCACCCCGGCTTCAGCACACTTGCTGTTAGCAGCTAGTTCTTTCTCACACAGAGTCACAAATTGAGAGTAAAGTTCTAACCCTTCTTCTTTTCCAGAGTTAGAGTGATACTGCATGCTTCTTCCTTTAGCTTTCCCCCCAAGAGTGGCTTGAGGAATGATAAGAACGTCGCCAGGCAGATCCAATATAGACACATGCTTGCCATTTTCTGTCTCACTTAATTTCACATTTAACAGTGTATTAACTAGGTGAAAAGAAAGGGAAAACATTCTGAAGTGAAAATATAAACATAAAACCATCAATCTTTTAACTGGTCAGTCAATATCATGTCTTACACTTAACTGTCATCAGTTCATGCTTCTTACTCAAAGTCTGCACCTGGATTTTTGTTAATTTGTTGTGTCTTAGGTACAAGTTTGCTCAGCAAATGTGACTCTCACTTAAAAACTCAGACACAAGTTGTTCTGTAACATTGGTTACTATTCTTGTGATGTATTTGCACTCTCACTGTATAGAAGATAGGGCCTATTTCCATCCATCCGCTTTCCTTGACTTCCTTGCTTTCTCATCTTTGCTTCTGAGTAAATTCTGACTAGTTTATGCAGTTAATTTTTTCAAAGGAGTACATTCCCCATAGGTGTACATTTATGTTTTAAAAACTGTTGCACTAGTCTAAATGATCTAAACATAAATAAAGCTAATTTCACACAGAAAATGATCTTTTCAATATGACATGGCAGTTAAGATCACTTAACAGTAACTCAATCTAAAAACCAAATCCAAACCCACTGTTGCTGAGTCCAATTCAACTCATGGCAACCCTTTGTTAGGTTTCTGAGGCTGAAGATTTTGCAGAAGGAGACTTACCTCATAATTTTCCTGCAGGTGGTGGATTCGAACCTCAGACCTTTTGGTTAGTAATCTGACACATAATGAATCATGCCATTAGAGTTCCTACAGTTCATTTATGATTGTCTCAATTATTAACTGTATAACTATACAGTTATTGTTTGTTATTGTATACTGTAAGTCAGAACCTACTCTAACTGACCCTGAAGCAGGTTTGCAGGGGCAGTTAATCACATGGGAGGACATTGTCCATCCTTCTCCTGCAGAGCATGTGGTGGCCTCAAACCACATGCTCTGGGATTGCAGCACAGTTTCTTGCAACTAGGCAACCAGAGATCCCTAACTGGACTAGAAAGGCAAATTTTCTGGTGGAATAGTTTAATTAATCTATAGTAAGTATTAGGGATAATTTAGCATGCGTTCTCCCTTTTACAAATCAGAGCATTATTCTGGTAAAACCTGCCATGTCACATTTAAAACACTATGCTCTTCTCTGGATGAAATCTGCCTTATATATACAGAGATCATTTAACTCTCAAATGAGTTCCTGAACTATGCATCAAGCTCTATCAAATGTCATTTAATATTTATCATTAATTTTATTCATTACAAGAAAGGATATTCCTCCATAACCAGTCCAGGGGCTCCCAAGAAATTATACCACATACTGTTAGAACAAAAATCACACCTATCTTGGAAGATGTACTGTCAGAATGCTCCTTAGAAACAAGGATGCCAAGATTTTCTCTCATGTACTTTGGGACATGTTATCAGGAGGGATGATGATGATAAAGATGATCATTCTGGATGAAGTATAGGGTCAATAAAAAAGGAAAGACTCCCAACAAGACTGTCACTGTGGCTGCAACAATAGGTTCAAACAAACAACTGTGAGAGTGTGAAGAACTGGGTAGTGCTTCAATCTGTAGTACACAGCTCACTATTAGTAGATATCACTTGACAACACCCAATAACAAACTATAACTCTCTGGAGTGCTTCAGATCAATAAAAATCAATGTCCAGCAGGCTAGTAACAAATTAAGTGAGATAAAATAGGGTAATAGAAGAAAAGTAAAGACAATGTATAATATTTACATATATCTCCCTCTACTGGTTATATCTGAGAATTCAATTAATGCTGTTGGTATACAAATACCAGTATGGAGTAGTAAATACAATACCAATACAATTATCAGTACGTAGACTGAAAATTAGTGTACTAAAGGAATGCTGAAAACTCAAGGATCCCAAGAAAAGTTCTTCGTTAAATCTCTCTAATGCTAATATTCTCTAACGGGAAGTTAAGCATTGACAGATTCCTGGATTTTGGTCCAATTACACTGAAGATGAACTAAGTTGGGTTCCCTACTACCTTTTTTTTCTTTTTTTAAACAAAACATCTCCATACAAGTTATGAGAGGTCTGGTGTCCTAGTCCATAGGGAGCAGTGCTGCTAATCCAAAGGCTATACAAGTGCTTTGTGTATGTCAGCAGCTGTGCGTAGGAAAAATGGGCAACTTCCTCCAGATTTATAGCCTTGGAAATCCAATGAAGGGTCGGCTTTGCATCAGTTTCCACTTGATTTCAATGAGAGAGTGAGTGTGATACATGTTACAAAGGAGTCATAGTGGCATAATGAGTAACCTGAATTCTAACTGAAAAGGTGGTATTTCAAATCCACCAGATGCTTGTGGGAGAAAAATTAGTACTAGTCTCCTCCCTTAAAGTTTTATAGCCTTGGAAATCCAATGGAAGCTCATTATGAGCTTGAAGTGACTCAACTGCAGTTGGTTAACACAAGTTATGATATTTCAGAGTTCATACTGATATGTTACCAATGTTGATATAATTTGAGTAGAAAGATCTGAATCCATGTAATTAACTAAGCTTGGTTTAAGAAAATCCTACCACAATGGCTTACTTTACTTTCAATAAAAGCTAAAGATAGCAATGATAGATGGACTTAATTCATTTATAACTCATTTAAGCAGAATGTGCTTATAGATTAATATAATTCTTTACTTAAAATCATAATATATAAAATGGAGGCAAGTAACTCAGTGCTTATAATTCTTACATTAAATCACAATATTACACATGTATCTAAAGGGAATTGACAAAAACATGTAAAGAAAGCACCTAAAACAAAATGAAACTTGGATTTGGTCGATCTGTTTCATCATAAATGACTAAAATCCACTTCACTGATCAAACAAATTTAGGAAGTTACTAAGTCAGAATAACACACATGTTCTTCGTAGGTTTTGAGGATTTCTACTATTTTTTTTTTTGGCCAAAAGCACTTAATCCAAGTCAAAAGATCAAGTTAGGTACATACAAAGACTGTCCAAGGTTCAAACATACAAACCCATTGTACTGAGTTTATTCAAACTCGTGGAAACCCTCTATCATATTTCTGAGGCCTGAGAATCTTTACAGGAGACTGCCCAACTGTCTTGCTCAGAGAAGCTGGTGGATTTGAATTGCCTACCTTTGGATCGCAGACTGATACATATGCACAATGCCACCAGGTTCCCAATTTCCTATAATAGTAGTCCTCATTCTATTTTCTTCTTAACCACCCTCTCATGTCCCTAATCTTTTGGACTAGTAATTACAGTTCCTGGCATTTGATCCTCATCTACCATAATTCCTTCTTAAATTCAGTTTTTACTCTCTGATAAAGCTACTCATTAGTCAGACATGTTTGATACACTAGTGCAAAATTCTTCCTAAGAGCTTTAGCTATTTGCCCAAATTGTTCCTCATTAGGTTATTTATCCATGAACTAGGTTACCTGTAGATCTTCCAGTTTAACTTTTGCCTGTTTGCTCCAACAAGCCATATTTTTCATCTCTATTTCTTATTAATTTACCGACATGCTGACCTTTAGTAATGAGAATATATCTTATTTCCAACCTTAAGGCTAGCTCCATTATTTCTGGAATTTTTTTTTTACCAAGTTGTTTTGAGACAATATATAATCTGATGTAGTGTGTCTACTCCTGTGCATTCTCAAGGAATGCACAGTGCTTTGGACTGTTAGACTACTAGAACATTACAGGTAGATAAATTAGTGTTCAGAGATGACCGAAAACTGACTTTGCTTCGTGTATCTTGGAGGTATAAACTTGATGACATAGTTTGGCTCAAAGACTAGGAGAATCTTACATTTACACACATTTTCTATAAAGGCCACCCTGCTTCCAACAAGTTTTTCCATTGCTGGTTTGAATCTCAAAGTGTAGTATGGGGATGTGTCAATGTGTAAGTCATTTGAAATGCAACAGGATGTTTTAAAAGAATTCTACAATACTTGCTTATTTTACACGATGAACAGTCAGAAAATACTCCTTAAAGGTTACGATAGACAAAATTAAATCATGTTATTTATAATTTGGCAAAAAGTCATGCTTTTGGTTACTTTGGGTTCTTGTGACTACTGCTATTCATTCTTAGTCTTAAAGAAATACCAAGCACGTACCCATCTTGGGGAGAAGTTCTTTATCAGCTCCCTTGAAAAAGCACACATAGATCACTAATCCTCTTTGAACCTAAGAGAAATTGTAACAGTGACCGCAGATTAGAGAAGCATCTCTACATACAGATACAGTACTGAATGAATCAAGTTCTACAACTTATGCACAGTAGATTTTTATCTCATTAAACATGAGAAAAAATATTATCAGGTTTCAATCACTTTAGTTGTCATTTCTTTCAAAAATTAAATTTAAAACATAGTCAAGAGCAGTGAAACAAGTATGTTGTTGTTGTTGTTATGTGCCGTCGAGTCGTTTGGGACTCACAGAGACCATATGTGCAACAGCCCTAAACCCTGCTCTATCCTGTGTCAATCGCATTGCCTCTTACACACCCATCCCGATTACCCCAGTCACTGAATCAATCCACCTCATAGAGGGTCTTCCCCTCCTGCGCTGTCCCTCTACTCTACCCAGCATGATGTCC